ACAGCACACACACACAGCTCACACACACAGCACACACACATAGCTCACACACACAGCACACAAACACAGCTCACACACACAGCTCACACACACACACAGCTCACACACACGGCTCACACACACACACACAGCTCACACACACAGCTCACACACACAGCTCACACACTACAGCTCACACACTACAGCTCACACACACAGCTCTCACACACACAGCTCACACACACACACAGCTCACACACACACAGCCCACACACACACAGCCCACACACACACAGCTCACACACACACAGCTCACACACACACAGCTCTCACACACACAGCTCACACACACACACAGCTCTCACACACACAGCTCACACACACACACACAGCTCTCACACACACACAGCTCACACACACAGCTCACACACACACAGCTCACACACACACACACAGCTCTCACACACACACAGCTCACACACACACAACACACACACACAGCTCACACACACACAGCTCACACACACACAGCTCTCACACACACAGCTCTCACACACACACAGATCTCACACACACAGCTCACACACACAGCTCTCACACACACAGCTCACACACACACAGCTCACACACACAGCTCACACACACAGCTCACACACACACAGCTCACACACACAGCTCACACACACAGCTCACACACACACAGCTCACACACACACAGCTCACACACAGCTCACACACACACACAGCTCACACACACACAGCTCACACACACAGCTCACACACACAGCTCACACACACACACAGCTCTCACACACACAGCTCACACACACAGCTCACACACACACACAACTCACACACACACAGCTCACACACACACACACAGCTCACACACACACATAGCTCACACACACACAGCTCACACACACAGCACACACACACAGCACACACACACAGCTCCCACACAGCACACACACACAGCTCACACACACAGCTCACACACTGCAGCACAAGACAGGCTGTACACACAGCTTACACACTACAGTGTAGCGCAGGCTGTACACACAGCGTACACAATGCAGCAGACTGTACATACAGATTGCATACCGCCGTATTTTCCCGCATATAACCCGCGGGGTAGACCACTTTTTACAAACAAAACAAGACTCTGCGGGGTATATGGAGGTGCGGGCTATCCCAAACATATTTTCCACGTGTGACGTCATAACTCGTTTAATGTTTTCATGATAGGACTATCCACTATGCAACACTTACCTTTGACTAAAGCACTGCTGAATAAACCATTGCACATGTTATCACGTTTTAATTTATTCGAATTGTTGTACAATGAAACGACAATGTTTGAAGTGGGTGCACTTTGTTTACCGTAATACTTTCAAGGCTGTAGGGGGGTGCGAAAGCTTCAGCTCAGGCTACGGATTGCACAATGGGAAGGGCCTTAACAAGCGTCTACCAGAGGCGGAATCATAATTGCCGAGTCCCTTAGGCCGCTGCTATTGGCTGAGCACTATGCAGTCGTGATCACGAGCTTTGTTTCAAACTTCTAATGGCTTTGTTGCCAGGAGGCAATGGCGTTACCGTAGTGCCGCGATTGGCTGCGCAGTGCACAATCTACCAGTGCTAAAACTGTACGGGGGTAACTACCGGTCCAGTAGCTGTAACATGATGAGGTCGAATGCTGGTAAGCCTAACAGTACGCTTACTTACTTATCTACCAGTTATGTGTTACTTATTTATTGGATACAGTAAAACCTTGGATTGCGAGCATAATTCGTTTCGGAAACGTGTTTGTAATCCAAAGCACTCGTATATCAAAGCACTCGTATATCAGTTGTGATCACGTGACGCTCGGCAGACAAAGCGTATACACGTACTGCTCGTGTTGCAACACCTCGCTCGTTTATCAAATTAATATTTACTTTAAAAAATTGCTCATTTTGCAAAACACTCGCAGACCAAGTTATTCGCAATCCAAGGTTTTACTGTATTTACTTTTGTTACTTATTTACTGTTATAAGTTCACTCGTTTCCAGTTAGTTTGTTTTCTTTGTACACGTTATGATTTTAATGATGGTGTAATGTATTACAAATGTAAACTTTGTATTAATATGATGGAATTAAGCTGCGGTAACGACGTTAAAGATATGAATGCATGCGGGGTATATGGAGGTGCGGGCTATCTGAAATTAGTTTTACACAAAATGCTATTTTTTGTGTGGTTATATGCGTATGCGGGCTATATGCGAGAAAATACGGTAGTGTAGTGACTGTAAATGTCACTGGATGGTGCCGGGCTTGCGAAGTCACGGCCGGTAACGTTGTGATTGCGGGCAGCCCGGGTTGCGGGCTGCAGTACCAACTCTAGCGGTGGTTGGGTGAGCGCTGGTGAGCGCTGGTGAGCGCGGAGGCACCGCGAGCAGCGTGCGCTGCCGGCTCACAACGAGGGAGCGAGAGGGAGCGTCAGCCAGCCAGGGTCACTCTGGGGCATGACACTCTGGCTGTGACCTGTTGTCACGTGACCGGACGATACTGGAGGGGGGCCACGTGGTTCAAAGGAGCTCTCGGGAACATTCGAGAAGGAGCTCGAGAGGCGTGGAAGGTGGGCGGGGCTGAGGGCGGAGCCAGCCCGGGAGCGTATAACGAGAGCCCCGTCAGGAGCTCGGGGTTCTTCGTGTGCTGGTGTTGGAAGATCAACATCCAGGAGAAGAAGCCTCTGGCCGGGATAGCGAACCGTGTCTAGTTCTGCCGTAGCGTGGCTAGATGGGCATTCGAGACCCGAACGTAGGTTGTGTTACGTGTTGATGTACAATAAACAGTGTTGCTCCCAAGATAACGTCTGCGACCGACTCAGTTGGACTCACGACACTAGCATAACACAGGCTGTGCATACAGATTACACACCACAACATAGGGTATAACATAGCATACACAGTGTAGCACAGGGCATACGACACATTATACAGTATAGGGTGTACATTCTACATATACAGCTTAAATTAGCAATGTGTATTTAAACAGAGTAGCGTTGTCAGGTCGAGTAACATTGCCCTCTAGCTCCCGATTAGTGGTGCTAGGATGCTCGCAGAGTAACTGATTCGTTTCGCGTGTCGAGGGTGTAGGCTAAGAAGATCGCTGTAACAACATTGTGTCAGCTGCCGCGCCCGGAGATTGACTCCCGGTGCGCTCACTGCGGTGACTACAACCACGGCAACGCCATCGCCAGTCGCCGTGTCGCTCGGTTCAAGAGGTCAACAGAAACACGCGTGTTGCTCGACATGCGTACACGCGTGTCCAGGGTATGTGGAGCGTGTAGCCGGTGAGCTCCGCTGCTGCCCGAGTTCGATTCCTGCTCACGGTCACCACCAACACCAAGGGACGATTATATGAACCGGTCCTGGGCCTCCTCCGCTAGGTCGACTCGGCCTCAAATGAGTAGCCGGTGCGTTGTGTAAAAACATCGCCACTGGGGAGACAAAGGCGGCCGGGCGTGGTGTTGGCCACCCACCCCCACTCCGTGTGCCACAGTGCCGGCCTCGCCAACAGCACTTGTTGCCGCAACTGTTCAAGGGATGCGGGGATCTTTTGTCATTGTAAACATGTGGGCCAAACCGGTAACCGGTTTTACTGGGTTGTTCATACGGTTACCCAATCACATGAGCATTGAGCTGGTGCTCATCTCCTGCTTACAGGACTCAGCCAGTGACGGAAAATCGAAATTCCTTTGGCGGGACGAGTCTATCCCACCGGACACCGGCTGGTGACTTCCCCGCGACAACCCCCGAAGGAATGATGATGAACTGATTCAACCTCCTCCACCTCCTCCACCATCACAACCACCTCCACCACCTCCACCTCCTCCACCATCACAACCACCTCCACCACCACCTGCTCCAACTCCTCCACCACCACCTCCTCCACCACCACCTCCACCACCTCCTCCACCACCACCTCCTCCTCCAACTCCACCACCACCTCCTCCACCATCACAACCACCTCCACCACCACCTGATCCAACTCCTCCTCCACCACCTCCTCCACCACCACCTCCTCCTCCACCTCCTCCACCACCACCTCCTCCTCCAACTCCTCCACCACCTCCACCCCTAACACCTCCCCCTACTCACTGCAAGACGCCGCCCTTCGCTTCGTCCCTGGGTCCCCCTCCCCGCTACCGCCCCGTGACCTCCCCCCCTCCTCCTCCCCCCCTCCTCCTCCCCCCCTCCTCCTCCCCCCTCCTCCTCCCCCCTCCTCCCCCCCCTCCTCCTCCCCCCCTCCTCCTCCTCCCCCCCTCCTCCTCCTCCCCCCCTCCTCCCCCCCCCTCCTCCCCCCCTCCTCCCCCCCCCTCCTCCCCCCCCCTCGTGGTCCGCGACTTCCCCTCCTCCCCCTCCTCCCCCCCTCCTCCTCCCCCTCCTCCTCCCCCCTCCTCCTCCCCCCCCTCCTCCTCCCCCCCCTCCTCCTCCTCCCCCCCACCTCCCCCCCTCCTCCTCCTCCCCCTCCTCCTCCCCCTCCTCCTCCCCCCCTCCTCCTCCCCCCTCCTCCTCCTCCCCCCCCACCTCCCCCCCTCCTCCTCCCCCCCTCCTCCTCCCCCCCTCCTCCTCCCCCCCCTCCTCCTCCTCCCCCCCTCCTCCCCCCTCCTCCTCCCCCCCTCCTCCTCCTCCCCCCTCCTCCTCCTCCCCCCCCTCCTCCCCCCCTCCTCCCCCCCCCTCCTCCTCCTCCCCCCCCTCCTCCCCCCCTCCTCCTCCCCCCCTCCTCCTCCCCCCCTCCTCCTCCTCCCCCCCCTCCTCCCCCCTCCTCCTCCCCCCCTCCTCCTCCTCCCCCCTCCTCCTCCTCCCCCCCCCTCCTCCCCCCCTCCTCCTCCCCCCCTCCTCCTCCTCCCCCCCTCCTCCTCCCCCCCCTCCTCCCCCCCATCGTGGTCCGCGACTTCCCCCTCCTGCTGCTGCTGCTGTTCCGCGACTGGAACCGCAAGAATCTGACGAGGCCGCTCTCATTGTGCGTGGCGCTACGCGGCGGCGGCGGCGTCGCGGGCTTGTGTGTTTGTCTCTCTGTGTGTGTCTCTGTGTGTGTGTGTGTCTCTGTGTGTGTCTCTGTGTGTGTGTCTGTGTCTCTGTGTGTGTGTCTCTCTCTGTGTGTGTGTGTGTGTCTCTGTGTGTGTCTCTGTGTGTGTCTGTGTGTGTGTCTCTGTGTGTGTCTCTGTGTGTGTGTCTGTGTGTGTGTGTGTGTCTCTGTGTGTGTGTCTCTGTGTGTGTCTCTGTGTGTGTCTCTGTGTGTCTGTGTGTGTGTCTGTGTCTCTGTGTGTGTGTCTCTGTGTGTGTCTCTGTGTGTCTGTGTGTGTGTCTGTGTCTCTGTGTGTGTGTTTCTGTGTGCGTGCGTCTCTGTGTGTGTGCCAGTGTGTGTTTCTGTGTGTATCTCTGCGTGTGTCTCTGTGTGTATCTGTGTGCCAGTGTGTGTGTGTGATTATTTGAACCGGTCCTGGACCTCCTCTAGGTCGACTCAGCCTCAAATTGAGTACCCGGTATAGCGGTGTGGTAAACATCGCCTCCGGGGAGACAAAGGCGGCCGGGCGTGGTGCTGGCCACCCACCGTCTCGTGTACCGTGCCGGTACTTAATCGGTGCTCCTCGCTAACCGCACTTGCCCCAACAGGCCGTGCAGGCTATACGGGGATCTTTGTCTTTGTGTGTAAGTGTCCAGCATCGCAGTCGGGAGCGGTGGTGCAGTGGTTAGCGCGCTACGATCCCAGTTCGATTCCCGCTCACGGTCCAACACCAAGTGACGATTATCTAAACCGGTCCTGGACCTCCCCTAGGTCGACTCGGCCTCGAACGAGTACCCGGTGCGGTGCGTAAAAAACATCGCCACCGGGGAGACAAAGGCGGCCGGGCGTGGTGCTGGCCACCCCCCCCCCCACCCCCCTTCGTGTGCCGTGCCGGCCTTCGTGGGTGCTCCCCGCCACTCGCGAACAGCAGCGCGGCCCCAGCAGTGCCCTGGGGAGGGGGTCGCTGCAGAGCCGTCGGTGTTGCGCGTGGGGAGCGGTGGCGCAGCGGTTAGCGCACTGCGATTCGTCAGTGGTGGATCACTGAACACAGTCCTTGGGGCTTCCTTTTGGTCGACTCTGCCGTCAGCGAATTCCTGGTACGTTGCGCGTGAGACGTCAGCACTGGGGAGACAAAGGCGGCCGGGCGTGGCGCTGGCCACCCACCCACTCTTCGTAGGTGCTACTCGCTTAACAGCACTTGCCCCAAGAGTCTGTTAAAGGCTATACGGGGGAACTTTGTCTTTGTCCCCTCTGCCTCCACGATACTGCCCTCGGCACCCTGACTACTTCCCATAGAACTGCTTCTTGCATCCTTCCTCCGCAACTCCTTCACTATCAAGCAGTGTAGAGATGATGTTGAATGTAGATGTCGTGTTTGTTCACTGGGAATGGTTTAGAACGCCGGACGGAGCCCATTCGATTCCCCGGCACGGCAGCTGCAAACAGCGCTGCACGTTGTGTGTCCCAACCCAGCAGTTTCAATGGGTATACCACAGTCCCGCAGTATGTCTAGCGTGGTGGGGTCAAGTGTGGGGCGATTGTCACCTCTACCCAAGGAACATTGGCTGCTGTAGAAGTGTTGAACAAATGCCCAACTAGAGCTCCCTCTCGTGGAGGAGCCTTTTCGCTAGCAAGTGGATTGGATTCGGAAGCCACTAAATCGTCGAGATTGAAAACTCGTTTCTTGAGAACTGCGTTTTGTGTTTAGTTTGTTGTCCTTCCCCGCACCTCTGATTAGCACGGTCGGCTACGTACGGCGCGAAAGAAGTTCAACGTACAATACAGCCCCGAACACCACTCTTCACCCGCCTTAACCCCTCTCACCTGATCTCCTCCTCTGCCCCCTCTCTCTTGCTCCACTCTCCACTCTGTCCCCATTCCTCCCCAGCACTTCCCAGTTTTATGAATAGAATTTATTACATTCATCCTGGAGAAATCCGATGAACTATGCAGCTCTTTTTCACTGATGTTTTTGGTAGGGGCGGGTCAGAAAGTTACAACGATAAACGATATAAAAAAAAACGTTCGGAGCGCAAAGTACAGCATAGGAAAGGTTAGCAAATCACTAAACATAAAATACGTGAAATAAATAGTCCACTTACCAAGCTGGGGCAAGGCAGCAAGACAACAGCAAGAGCAACAGTCGCAAACCACACGAAGACAACACAGTTTCCGTTTTCAGTTTCATTTATTATGTATAGCCCTGTGAGCCAGTCGGCTCTTGAATGGGGTGCAGCCGCAACATAAAAAAACATGAACAAGAAAACATCTTAAAGTGACTGTGACTATACGCAAACATAAAAATCCAGGGGAAAACTGCAAAGTCTTCCAGAAAAAAATCACCGTACACCAACGCTGTGCAAAAATCCCAGTGAGATGCAAGTCAAACAACAACAACAACCACAAGACAACTTAGATTAAAGCCATCATTCTAACTCCACACTATAACAAACAAACATGTCCAAACCAGGAGTAGTCTCTCAATAAAATTGCACTTTTACATTGAACTATCGATAACACGGGTAAGGATGAAAGTTACAAACCACATTGGCAAATGCGGTTGTGTCCAGCACTAATCTTCTGCTTCAGGATATTTTTTGGAGGGAGATTTACGATGCGAAGGGAGGAAACAGGGTTGTTGGTCCTGAACGTTGGAGCTGCAACGGCAAAGGCTTTGTCATCTATTCTTGTTCTTGGAATATTTAAAAATACAATTTGATGGGTGTCTTCGGTTTATTGAGTTTGACAATGGGGTTGATGATTTTTTTTCGTGTTTAATTTTGTTGTCCTTCCCCCGCACCTCCCATCAGCACAGTTGGCTGTGTACGGTGCGAAAGAAGTTCAACGTAACGTACATCTGCGACAGCCACAAGCGCAAACGCAGGTAACTCGCCGTCGCCCGCGGATGAAGATGTCTTCGTTGATGCTCGCCCATGCAGCACGTCCAGTTCAGAAATGAGACTTAACGAGAGGTAGGGACGATGACTTTCACTTAACATGTTTAGGATTGCTGCTTGAGGAACAGGAGGAGGAAGAAGTGAGTGATGTGATCGGTGGTGCGTCTTGTCAAAGACACGTCCTGCCGGTCCAAGATGAGAGTGAAATCCATCGGCAACGTCTTGTTTTGCGAACAGTTCCTCTTGTCCTCCAGCAAGAGTTTTTGTTTTATTGGTGGGACGTTTGTTTTCAACTGAATTTAACGTTTGCCAGAAGAGTCTTGGATTTTACGTTGCGAATTTAGAATAGTTTGATGATAATATGAAACATTTAGCATTTTGTATTTGGCGAGTACATCTATGACTTCGTGTTCTTTACGCAATCCAATTGGGGGGGTAGCTTGATGTTCTTACATGATTCCAGGCTATATTTAGTTTTCATAAATTAATAAATGTTTGGATAACACCACGGTGGACGATCACCCTTTATTCTGAGCTGTTTTAATGCGGCACGTTTTGTCAATAATTTACATTAATTGGGTCCCTCCTCTGCTCCCCGCCTCTCGTCTTTCACTCCCACCCACCCACTCTGCTCTGAACACCTCTCTCCCCCTCCCCACTCCGTTCCATCCCACTCCCCCAGCGACTCGCTGGCACCCCGGCTGCTGGAGCCCCCATCATCACCAGCTCTATCACTCGCGGTGGTGGTGGTGGCGGTGGCTGCGGGAGGAGAGGAGGCGGTGTCACCCGGCTACAGGATGGGAGCCGCTCGCC